CCCTGAAGGTTGCAGGGGAGGTGGACGACAGACGGGTTGACGGCGGTAGCCGAGCCTGGGCACGGCTCTATGTTCAGAGCAGCCCAATGGTGGAGCGCTGTCATCTCCCGCCCCCGAGCCGCCCTCTTGCAGTTCTGCGTCTTTTCCGTATTGCTCATACAACCCTCTTAACGTGCATGTTTACTATCAAAGTGGGTTAGTAGCGCATACTTGGTGACAGAGTGCAGTTCAGTGCAGTATACTGGGCTTTAGAACAAGAACGGGATATGGAGGTGTTTGCCCTGTTTTTGTTATTTTTATAGTTTGCTACTTCTTTCCACAACAGCAAATATTGGTCAGATTCCAAAAGCGACTATGGAAGTGTGGATGGTTTGCTAGAAAAGAACACATTTCCCAGATACTATGTTTCTTCCTCTCATAGGTACCAGCATATCCTGCATAGAAACCTCATTTATCTAGCCACAATTGCTGATGCGACGCCACCCAGCACGCAGAAGACTGTAGACTGACTGCGCGTACCTGGACACGAGCAGTGATGCTTTTATCTGTAGAAATACTTAGAGTCCCACTTTGAGAGCTGAGAAGCTGTGGTCTTGAAAGGCAGGTAAAAAGGAGTCATCCATACTTTTATGTTAAAAACGTGAATGTAGTTTTTGATGCAATATTAGGCTAGCTTTTCCCCCCCATTACTGTAAGCAGAACTTAAGGGTGATAATTATCACTCTCCCTTTTTCCCCTCTGAAAAACTCCGTGTAGTATACTTCTGAAAATAGCCTGGTTGTCAGGACAGCGCTGCCAGAGATGCCTTTGGAGAGAGAACTCTTGCAGTCTGATTGAAGTAGAGACTGTTTCATGACTAAGGTTGTGTAACAATAGGGTAAGCGTTTAGCCAGGTAACTTCTTTCTACCTCCAGCATGACAAAATTGGTCATACGTTGCCACATATATAAGCAGTAGACTCTTGTATCGTAGGAGTTGTGCTTAATAAACTGAAGATGTTCTTTGTAAATTATAGTATATTCTGGATTAATGTAACATGTTAACAAAGGAGCAGCTCAGCGACTTAGTGAAACAGAAATGTCAACTTTTCTAGGAAGGATGGGACTGTTGCGTAACTTAGAGCAGTTAAGTGCAAGGGAGAAATCAAGCCTATACACTCAGTGAGAGAAGGCTGTATGCTTGCCCTAGTTCTATCAAGCCTTTTCCTTTTTGCTTGAAATGCTCTGTACTGCAGACTGTAAACAAGTAAATTCTTGCATCATCAAAATGGATTCATATGCTTCCTGGGTATCTGTCAGCATTTATGGTCAGCTGTATGCTCGTGTGCTCTTATCCAGAAAGAGCACAGCTTACTTGCACACCTCGGATACTGCATTTCAGTGGCACGATTAACATCAGCTAAACTAATAGCCTTGACGGGGGGGGGGG